CTGAAGCAAGAAATGCACGAGGGGGGGGTTAAGAATTTCGAGAGGAAAGGGTCCAATTTTATACAGGTATTTAGAAAAAATTTCATGCTGATCTAATATCATTTGAGATTGGAGAAACTTGGAGAGACGGAGCTTGTCTGAACTGTTCCTGTGTTCTCCAAGGACTTGGAGCTGAACCTGTCTGTAAGCTTGAAACCTGCAAGGAGAAGATGATGGATGAGAACTATGTCACTGAATCTATTCTGAACCCTGATCAATGTTGTCCTCTTGTAAAGAGAACTGCCTGTAAAGTTAATGGGAACATTTATCAGGTTTTCAAATATTTCCTGAAAATCCGTTTTTATCAAAAAAAATTTCAGAAAATAAGTTTTTTTCTAAAGAGTATGGAAACTAGAGTTGTAATAGAATCTTTACGATCACAGTCAAAGGTTCAATAGTAATCATATATCTCTAGGTCGGAACGACCTGGGTTGGGACGGATATCTGCTCTGAGTACTCTTGTGAACTGGTGGAGGGAGAAGCTATCATAAAGGTCAAGGAAAAACTATGTGACCGGTCATGTGGAAAGGTCAGTAAAGATATAAATATAAAGGAATCGAGTCTTTGCCACAAACTCCGATTTTCTAATCCCAATATCTTTGGAACCCAATGTCGTAAACCTTTGATATTTCAAGCTTATATTATTTGATCTAACAAAAGTCATAGTTTGAAATGTCAAAGGTTTACGACGTTAGAATTAGGAAGGAAGATATAGGGATTAGAAAATCAGAGTTTGTGGCAAAGACTCAATTCCTTTAATCACATTACAATATCTAAAAACATTATTATTCCAAAAAGTTTGAATTAAAGCTAAAAAAATCATAGAAAGACATTTCATAGAAAACATTTCATAGATAACAATATCATGAATAGGACATTTCATAGATAAGACATTTCATAGATTGGACATTTCATAAATAGGAAATTTCATAGATAGGACATTTCATAGACAGAGATGATTTTTCATAGACCGAGGAGATATTTTTTACAAATGATATTCTTTTCTCTCTTTTCTTTTCATCCTTATACTTTCCCTTGTCTATGAAAAATCTTCTTTGTCTATGAAAAGTCTTATCTATAAAATGTAGGCCCAGGACTTCCTTCTACAGCGTCATTGAAACAGGTGAGAAGTTGCAGTTTTTCCAATTCTGTTTTGTGGATTTTCAACAATTCACTTGAGCATTTTCATTCAACAAACGTATTATTAGTGAAAAACTTTTATTCACAGATGAAAAAGTTGAATTTTGTGTTCTTAAAAAATGATAAAAGTACTCTTCATATGCTTTTTTAATTGTTTCGTTGTACCAATGCATATGGGGACCACTGTATTTACATTTTCCCTTGTCTAGGAAAAATCGAAAAATACAAAATTTCGTAGATAAAAAAAAACCTCTGTCTATGGAAAATCTTCACTGTCTATGAAATGTCTTATCTATGAAATGTCCTATTTATGAAATGTCCATCTATGAAATGTCTTTCTATGAAATGTCCTATCTATGAAATGTCTTTCTATGAAATGACTTTCTATGAAATGTCCTATCTATGAAATATCCTATCTATGAAATGTCCTATCTATGAAATATCCTATCTATGAAATGTCCCAACGCCAAAAATTTCAACCAGCAGGGTCGAGATTAGATTTATCTGACATAAATGTTATCTAGGGGTTTGAGTACGAGCCTACTCCAGGTAGTTGCTGTGGTCGGTGTATTCAGACCCACTGTAAGCTAGATTCAGGAGATCTTATCCTTCCTGGATCTACCGTTCAACTGGATAATTGCACAAAGCTAAACTGTATTCTGCTAGATACAAAGGTAAACTGTATTCTGGTAGATACAAAGGTAAACTGTATTCTGGTAGATACAAACGGTAACCTATATTCTGGTAGATACAAAGGTAAACTGTATTCTGGTAAATACAAAGGTAAACTGTATTCTGGTAGATACAAAGGTAAACTGTATTCTGGTAGATACAAATGTAAACTGTATTCTGGTAGATACAAAGGTAAACTGTATTCTGCTAGATACAAAGGTAAACTGTATTCTGGTAGATACAACGGTAACCTATATTCTGGTAGATACAAAGGTAAACTGTATTCTGGTAAATACAAAGGTAAACTGTACTCTGGTAGATACAAAGGGAAACTGTATTCTGCTAGATACAAAGGTAAACTGTATTCTGGTAGATACAAAGGTAAACTGTATTTTGGTGAATACAAAGATAAAATGTATTTTGGTGAATACAAAGATAAAATGTATCTTGATGGATACAAAGGTAATCTGTATTTTGGTGGATACAAAGGAAAACTGTATTTTGGTGGATACTAAGGTTATGTAAACTGTATTTTGATGGATACAAAGGTAACCTATATTTTGGTGGATACAAAGGTAAACTGTATTTTGGTGGATACTAAGGTTATGTAAACTGTATTTTGGTGGATACAAAGGTAACCTGTAATTTGTTGGATACAAAAGTAAACTGTATTTTGATGGATTCAAAGGTAAACTGTATTTTGGTGGATACAAAGGTAAACTGTATTTTGGTAGAAAAAATGACCATAACCACAAAATGTTTATTTGTAAAAATCAAAGAAGAAAGAAGTTTCAGAAAAATTATCAATCTTTCTAGAACTCAAATTTCTAAAAACTTGAATACATCATTAAAGAACATTAAGATGCACGAGTCTGATAAAATCAGAAATATCCTAATTTAAAATAAATCTAAAAATCTTAAACTTGTTTTATTTGGATAAATCTGGGTTTCAGAACTTAACTTAATCTGAAAAATCTGCAATCTCTGAGATCTCCTTTCATTATGGATTAGATCGTAATTAATTGATTAATTTTCTAGTTTCCAGAGGAATTTGTTTTAGAAAACATTGTATGAAGTTTCAGGCGCGTACGAGGGCATTTGTCTAGGGGGGGGGGCACAATTTGCGCGCGTAAGCGCGCAAAAAAAAATTTTTGGTCCCCCCCCTTGGCAACATTGGTCCCCCCCTTAAAAACCCCTTTTTTGAAAAAATATTAATACCTTTTTTAAAAATGTTCTGGTAAACAAATTGATTATATACACACTTTTTAAGTGTTAATAAATTATTTATGTAATATTCTTAAGTAGACTTATCAGAACTCCTTTTTAATACTGTGGTGTAAGCCTTAAGGGGTGAAAAATAGAATTGGAAAGTGAAAAAAATTAATAAAAAATATCTATATTTTCGTATGATTGATACATAGGATTGAAACAGTGACATCAAATACATATTTACACTGAAGGCAGTATTAATAAAAGCTTTTTTTATGAAACTTTTTAGTTTAAGGCAAAAGTGCGATTTTAAAGTATTTTTTTTACTATACGATGTAATTAAACTTAAATGGAATACATGCGTGCGTAATTTTAAGTGACCCTCCATTTATAGAGTGGCATGTCCGATGTACCTTTGAAACCTTTATTTCGTCATCGTTTCTGAAGCAAGAAATGCACGAGTCCCTTTTGTAGAAAAACCACAAGTAAAAAAATCAGTTTTCAAACCGGGAAACATAGATATTTAATGCAATACTTGATCAGACAAAGCTTTGAAGGGTATTGTTGTGAATCAGAATTGAAATTATCTCTGCAGTCACTTTAAACCTCTCAATTGATTCTATATTAATTAAACTGCTTTGTTAGTTAGTGAACTTTGAAGAAATGAAAAAAAGATTTTCACAAAATGATACTAGGTATGTAGGTCCATAGGTAATTACCTGGCTCGTAAAATGAAATTAATAAATAATTATCGTCGCAGATGAACACTTTAACATTTGGAAACGTATTCTAACATCAAGAACAAGATATTTAACTCACAGACAGACACTGACTCCACTGACTCAACCGCATTGAACAGCAGGCCAGGCTTCGGAGTACACATACACCTACACCATAACCTCAGATTTACAGCTTCTGTCTAGCGCACAATACAGCGCAAATGACTCAAGTAATTACATAATTGAGAAAGGTGTCGTCTTCAATTTACTCATTAAAAGGAAAAGGTCAAATAATTTATTTCGTTTCTTAACCTTTTAGTTTGGGACTGGGTGATTACAATGCAATGCAATGTAGAATGTATATTGCCTAGCCTGAGGAAGGGTTAAATGCAAGCAGATGTAATATTATAAGACCCCCTCCTATGGGTGCCCCCGTCAGCCTCTTAGGGGGGGCACACGTAGGGGGGGCCGGGGGGGCGCGGCCCCCCCCTCGTACGCGCCTGCAATCTTATATAATTACCTTGTCATCCTCCTCTGTGTTCTGACCTGCCACTAACATACTCCAGGAAACTAGGTATACCCAGTAGTACATTTTACACATTTCAAGTCTGTAAACAATCTTTTAGCACAGTTGCTAAACCTGGCCCTGGAGAGACCACTATTTATTTGTATATGTGGTTTATCTGCAAGTAACTTGTGCATTTCTTTCATACAAGAGCAAATGAATCAGCCCCTTCTAGGAAAATTCTAGTGCGGGATAACATCGGAAATACCGGAAATACATGAGTAATTTATTAAAAATTTATCCGTTTATTAGCAAGTCTTGTAATCTTCATTCTTAATTCTCTGCTTATATTGTTTCACAGTTGAGATTGAAGTCTAACTATTTTTCTTTTACAAGTGGACAGAGATAATAAAATGACATTTATTTTTATTTTTCATCTTCACTGTTAGGGCTGGTGATTGCTTAAACCAACAAAAAAAATTTTGTTTTATTTTTTTTACACTAACTAATTTGATTTAAACCTTACTAAGTGCTGGAAAATGAACAACTATCTGCCTTTTTAAAGAAACGATGTATTATTTTGGAAATTTAATTTTTAACAACGAGTATTCAGTTTTCATGTTTTCTTTTCAGTTTCATTAACTGAACGATTGATTAGTTTTTTGGAAAATTGAAAATGTTTCACAACTAACTCCAACTACATTTCAAAAACACTTGTAAATACCAAGGATATAATTGTTCCTTGCAGATAATTGCAGATAAACGGAAGTGATAAAGGAATATATTTCCGTTATAAAAGTAAAAGTTTACAGTGTGTATGTAATTCCAATTTTTTATTCTTACCCCCATTCTGCGCAGGTAGTGTTTCTTTCAGTCTTACTCCTACGCCGTACAGTTCAAAAGTTTCCTAGAACTTTCTGGTTTTTTCTTAAATTTTTTCTTTTATATAATCTCACAGGTTTTTTTTTTCTCTTGTAAATACCCATTTCTATTGCTTATTTTCAAACTGAACAAATTCAAACAACTTCAAGATTTCCTAGAACTTTCTAGTTTTTTCTTAAAAATTCTTTCTTTTATATAATCTCACAAGTTTTCTCTTGTAAATAACTATTTCTATTGCTTCATTTTGAATTTAACTAATACAAACAACTTATTTTCCTGCTGGAAACTAATAATTGTAAATTCTCTGAATCAAAAATTTTTCATATTAATACCTTAACTTTGAAGTCACTCTTCACTACAGGACCAGGACCAGGGTCTTCTAGCTCGCTGAAAGCAATTGGCTGGAATGGGAAAATTGTGGGCTCCCTAGTTCTCTGGCTCCCCAATAATAATGCTACGGTTTACAAGGGCCATTTCTCCCTAGCTGGAGAATTCCTTCCGGATCCTATCATCATTCCCACTAAGAAACTTTGGCAGGACGTCCCGACACCATCTGCATCTCCCTGACTCTCTTGTCTCCAGACCTGTTTCTATTTCAAGACTCACTGGTCTCAGATTATGTGACGGAAGAGGTAGTTACTCACCACTTTTTTTGGAACTACCAGGTGATCAGCTCCACCCTAACTGAGGAACAACTAATATTGAGCATGGAGTCGGCTCTTTTGGTCTTTGCCTTTTTGTGCACCCTTCAAGCAGCACCTGGGTAAGCTTCTCCCTGCTGATATTCCCGGAAGCCTTTAATGAGTTGAGGGACCATGTCCTTTACTCTAACCCTAAATTGCCAGGACAACTCCTTGCAGATGGGAAATTTCCCTTGTTTCCATCCTCCACCTTGTTTAAAACTAAGTGGGGCTCTCCCATACTCCCCCCCTTATAATCCCAGGAGCTCCCTTTGACTCTCTGCCCTCCCACCCTCCAAACTCTGTCCTACTAGCTGCTATATCTTCTTTCCTAAGAGGATGGGCGAATTCCTACTAGCTAGATGGGCAGAAATGGTCCAGGAGGAGCTGGGGCTCAAGACTCTTCCCTGCCAACTGCAGTCTGGCCAGAGTTCTCTGCTCCTGTCCCTAGCTCAAGTAGTTCTTTGTTGGCCTGTTTTCTTTTTTGTTTGGGCCCTACTTTGTAGAGGTTTTATTTTAATAGGTTTCTCTCCCCCCCTTTTTCAACTTATATTAATTTAACCCCCCCCCCCACACAGTTTCTCCCTTTAATCTCCCAAAAAGGATAGGATGGGAAAGGGAAAAATTATCAACATCTACAATAGTAAAGGCCAGATATGCCCTATACGAGCTCTAGAGAGATGGTTTATGCTAAAACAACATGCCGAGGAGGATCTGCCAGCCTTCAGATGGGGGAAAGGCGCCTGCTTTAAAGAGAAAGATTTGAATAAACTCCTGAAGATAATGAACATTTAATATTCATTTATTTTTGTAAGATATATTTTAGGAAAACATTTAAGATATTTGTTACTTACTAATTTCAATTCAAAACATTGTATCCTATTAGGTTCTAAAAATGGAGCAGATATTCCATCAAAAGACAAAGGATGTTTTTTTCATATATTTATACACAAAAGTAGAAGCATGATGTTTGTGGATATTAGATAATTTAAAAATTCCAAGTTTAGAAAACAAAGGGTCTCTATACTGTGAATATCCTTTTTATTGCTTTCTTTTGAAGTTTAAATAATTTTCCCTTTAAGTGTTTATTGATAATCCCCATGCTAAAATTCCAAACTCTAATTGAAATTTTATTAAACTTTCATAAACTATCTTTCTAATGTTTTTAACAATTTCAGGACAAAAATTTCACTTGATAACTTAGCACAAATACCATCTAATTGATAATTCCAGTTCAAAAATTTGTCTTTTAAACCGACAAAAAGCTTAGGATCCATTTAATTTAGATGCGGATCTGGATCCAGATCCTGGATCCGCACTGGGAAAAAATGGATCCAGATCCAGATCCAGGTCATTTCTTTAAGATTTACTGAATCTTTTTATCAAAAAATAATTTTCAAATTTTTGTTTTATTTTTTTCACTTGTTTTTATCCTAAAACTTGATAAACCATTCAGAAATGAAGAAAATTTTATAATCTCTCTTTTTTTAAAAGTTCAGAATTGGGGTTTAGGAGTAAAAGTTTTTTTTGCAGTTTTTGGTTGATATTTCACCCATTGGATCCGAATCCGTGGATCCTCATATTTTTGTGGATCCGGATCCAGATCCAGGAAGCCAAAATCTGTTTGATCCAGCGGATCCGAATCCGGATCCTAAGCACTGACTTGAAATATTTATCTTTGCAAGTTGAACCTATTCTTTCAATAATTTCATATCCTATTTTGAGATTATAACCCTGATCATCAAATGGCACAGATTTATTTCTAAATACAATATATTTGGTTTTTGAAACATTAAGTGTTAACTTATTAGCCTGAAATCAACAAAGAAAGTTCATGATTTGCCATATGAAAAAGATTTTCTAGATTATTTGATGATTTTAAGAATGCAGTATCATCAACAAATAAAGAAGTGAAAAATGATATACAATCTGGAAAATCATTTATATATGAGAAAAAATAGTAGAGGTCCTAGAACTGAACCCTTGGGTACACCACATTAAATTTCCTTGCAAGAATATTCAAAATCCCTTACACTTATGTATTGAGTTCTTTTTGTAAGATAATTTCTAAATCATAAATCAGTTTTATCCCTGGATCACTATAATTAAGATTCTTTAGAAGAATCTCAAAATCTACAGTATCAAACGCCTTTTTCAGATGTAGTATAAGAGGTGGTTAAGTATCATGCTTTAGTCTAAATCCATATTGATGAGAATGCAAAATATTGTATTTGATTATGAACTTAAACATTTGACATGCTAGAAGTTTTTCTAACAGTTCTAAAAATGAGGATAATAAGCTTATTGGTCGATAATTTGTAAACTCTCTGTAGATAGGTATTACCTTGGCACATTTATAGCTTACAGGAATATAGCCTGATTTCAAAGATAAATTCAAAATATGAACTACAGGAGATATTTTATTTGGCATAATCTCTTTAAAAAGTTTTGTAGAGATGATATCTTTACCACAGCCTATCTTACTTTTAAGCAAAGAAAATGTTAGTATCAACAGAGGTTGATAGTATTCTGCAAAAATTTTGTGGAGCAGAAATAGCTGAAGCTAGATTTGGTCTGACATTCACAAAAAAAAATAGTTAAATCCTTCAGATATTTCTTGTAAGCCTGAAAAAATCTTACCATTATGCATTACAATGAAACTGATCAGGAATATCTGATTATGAATTATTTGATTTTAGAAACATTCGCCAAAGTTGTTTGATATTCCTGTTGTATTCATGAAATTTATCTTGATAATAATTTTTTGCCTTTTGTAATATAGATCTATAATTTGTTTTCTAATTTTATAATATTTAATGTTAAAAGGCGTAGGATTTTTAATACTCTTTACCTCTAATGTATTCTTTGTTTTTCTTAAAACCAGCATTGCTTTTGTAATCCATGGTTCAACAGGTGTAATTCTTTTCTTTATATGAGAGGAAAGGACTCCAAATAACACTTTGATAAAACACTTTCAAAACTGTTAAATGCCAAATGCCAAACTGGTTTTTGGAATATAGACAACTCATCAGCATTATTTAATTTATCCTTGAAAATTGTTATTGTATTAACATTTAATTTAGGCTTAAATCTATTTTAATTCTGATTCTGGCCACCCTATCTATTTTTATCTATTTAATCTATTTTTATTAATCATGTCTGACATTGGATACAAAGTGCTAAATACTCCTTCCCCAACCCTCCCTACCCCCACAGATCAACCCAAAACAATCTAAGGAGAGATAAAAATATCATTGAAATACAGTAAATGAAAGGGCAAAGGAAATGGAGGTTCTGAAACATAAAAACATTTGAATATTAAAGACATACAATAAAAATCTAAATGAATAAATAAAACATAATAATTACTAAATATGATGATTGATGCCCTAGAAAGAGTATAATTCCATTAGACAACAGGTATTTTAGATTAAAGTTTAGAAAAGAATTCATTTAAACATTTTGGTTTTTAACTAGATCATGCAGTTCTTTAGCTGTGACTGTTTATGGAGCAGCATTCAAATTTGGACCAGAATAACAAGTTAACTTGAATTTACTACCTTCATTTACTTTCCTTATCTGTATCTGACCGTTTTCATCTGTGTAGCATGAGCAGTTGGAAATCTTCTTTCTCTTTTAAGCTGACTAACCTCAACAGTAGACCAGATCTTCGGTTGGTCAGTTGATAGTTAAAGTATTCATTCAAATCAGGATTGACTCCTGATTTTATACCTTCGTTAATCCTGCTCCAAGCTGATCATTCTTTATGGTTCCAGACACAAATGAGAACAGATTTTTTAACTCTGTGACAAGCTTTGATGTCATTCGTTGGTATTTAACATCAAACTTGAGCTGAACCAATTCTATGACATGCTCTGTGAGTCTCAACCTCTGTTTTAAGTTCCTTGTCTGATTTGATAAGACATTCTTTTCTTCTTTCCTTGTTTTGTATATTAGTAATCAGCAGATTCCCCTTTATTCCTTGATTCTTAGATGTATCTAACTCATCTTCCTGAGCTCGAATTCTTTTCTGAAGTGAGGTCATATTGGAGTTTTGAATCTCAGATTATAAATTGTCCAATTTTTCAGAGTCAGCTTTTACTACATGAAGTAAGGCATATAAAATACCATTTAAATCTGATTAGTCGTTTGCTGATTATCATCCAAAAGGTTTGCTCTCCATGAAGATAATCAAGATAACAAGGAATCCAGTATGTTATGTTCCACAGTGCACATCTTTTAAGGAGCCGTGCCGTTTCCATGGTTAGGTGGCGAACTGTCACTTAAGTTTCACAAATCTATTTTAGATTAATTGTAGAATTTTCTATTGTCTAAATAGAATCAACCTTTTGTATGATAACTCTTTAGTTCCATTTACTCTCCAGGTACTTTTTAAGGTTTACCAGTAGAACCAAATAAACAAGAAATTATCCTCCTTAGCTTTCAAAACAACAAAAGAAAAAATTAAATAATTTTTCGTAGCATAAACTTGATATATCATCATCTAAATACAATTTATTCATCAATTCATACCTACACACTTAACTATACCTGCTGCAGATGCTGTGGAAAAGAAATTCTTCCATAAAATTCAAATTTTTCATAAATGTAATTTTTTCAAATATTTGGGTTTTATATCTTACATATCAATTTTACTCAAAAAAAAAACAGTGTTTAGGATCCAGATCTGGATCTGAATCCATTGGATCTGCAAGATTTCGGCTTACTAAATTATGAATCTGGAAAAATATGCGAATCCACAAATCCGGATTCAATGGTCAAAATATCAACTAAAAACTGCAAAAAAAAATTTATACTCTTAAAGCCCAAATCTGAACTATTGAGAGATTTTAAAATTTCCCAATTTCTGAACGGTTCATCAAGTTTTAGCAAAAAAAAAAAGCAAAAATTAAACAAAAAATTTTAAAATTCTGTTTGGTCAAAAAAATTCAGTAATTCTTTGACTTGGATCTGGATTCGCATCAAAACTGAATGGATCCTAAGCACTGGAAAAAATTATAATATTTGAAAATTCTAGCCCTCCAAGGCCAAAAAGTGGCTTTTATTTAAATCTTCTGACCTTACCTGGCCTAAATTGACCTTAGGGGACTGGTCATGTTTCGACTAGTTAGGTAATCTGATGTAACCTGACCTATTCTGACCAAATCCAGCCTAAGTGGATTGGTCAGGTTAAGAGTAAGACCTGCATGAGAACAGTTAGATAACCCGACCTAACCTGACCTAACCTGACCTATCTAAGGGACTGCACATGTACTGACCAGTTAGGTAATCCTACATTACCTGACAATTCCTGACCAAATCTGACCTGAGTGGACTGATAGGGATAAGACCAGTTAGGTAATCTGACCTAACCTGACCAAATCCAACTTAAGTGGACTGGTGAAGTTAGGACCCCCTAACTATCCAATACTGATTAATTGGCCTTTGCCATTCTATGTTGCGCACACATGACCCGTAAAATTCCAAAACAAAGAGGGGGATTGAATTTTGTAGATCCAGAAAAATAATATCTGTGGGATGCCTGCGTAGAGCTGGCAGCTGGTGGGGTCTTAAATGTAAGCCATGTGGCCGCAGCGCTCGGCCCCCTAGCCTGTCATAGCCGCAGCGCTCGGCCCAGAAAGTGTCATAACTTAACCTAACCCGTGGCCGCAGCGCTCGGCCTCCTAGCCTGTCCTAGCCGCATCGCTTGGCCCAGAAAGTGTCTTAACCTAAACTAACCCTAAATAAATACTAATTTCTGGATCTACAAAATTCAATTGGCTGCTTACCTGAATATTAGAGGTCGGGGTTTGAGTTGAAACTACCAGAGTTTCTTCGTCTTCGTTTCCATCTTTAACATAATCAGCATTTTATAAATTACTTGGAGGTGTATTGTATATTTTCCACAAAGCTTTTAAAAGTCATTTTTTCAGAAGTTTTGTTATTAAGGTTTTTTTAGCTGAATTGTGACAAATAAATGATCTTTAGAGAAAAAGTATCAAAAAGAAAGAATAAACTTGTCTTTTGATGTCCAACTTTTCCTTCTATAAGTCTACCCAATCAACTTAGATTTAAAATTCAGCTAAGAACGTTCCTGTGGTTTTACCGAGCTCTTCAATAAAAATTTCAGGCAAATCATTCAAGGGGTTCATGACATCCAAACAAACAACAGTGACTACTACATCTAGATTTTAGAACTTTATAACATACTGTCTTGCAACATTAAAAGTTGTCTTTGTGCAAAGTTCAGAATTTGAGGGAAAATGTAGAATTAATCTAATTTATTCATCCAAATGATCAAGAGGATTCTTGACAGCGCGTAAAATGAGCTTTAAAAAAACTGCCCTTAATAAAAATACCCGAATACCCTTTAAGGTAGTCAAAGACTCTGTATGCCGTAAATTCATTCGCAAAGCTTTAATAGAAAATGACCAATGTTGATTTTAAACCAAAACCATAGCTTTATAAATATGGTGGCAGCAAACAAAACAAAATTAGATTAGAATTGATTAGGACCGTAAACAAAATGTTGGCAAAAAATTAAGATTTAAAACAACATGGCGGTAGACAAAAATGGCGATTAAGAACCACATAGCGAGTAAAACAATATGGCGGTTAAAATTAACAAAAGCTGATTTAACCTTCATCCTCAGGATCCCAGCTGACCTCCTCCCCGTCCTCCCTCCTCCACCTTCCATCCACGACCTCGGCGCGATTCTCAACTGCCATTATAATCGCATTCTGCAAATAACATTTATAAAAGAAGAAAAAATAGTAATTTTTCAATGCTTTGATTTAAAACTATTGTTAATTTTCTCAATAACCAAATTTTCTCCAGCGGCTCCAATCCACTCTTCAACGTTCAGTTCTGCGGAAAGGGTTAACGAAAAGTTATTCTTGATGTAATTTAAAACTTTTCGTTCACTGGAGACTAGGATGTCGTTATCACTTGGTATGTCTTCGGATTTTTTATCTATAGTAAGAGAGTCTTTCTCACTGGAGAGAGGTCCTGCATTCGAACTTAAAGGTTCCTTATTAACACAGAGAGGTCCATGGTTCGAGCTTGTAAATGTATTCACGGCTAAGCGTCCTCTAAGTTTAGCGTAAAACTGTGAAACTTTCAATGCAGTCGCGTAACCAGCATCAAATCCTGAAGGTTGTGAAAATAAGAGAAAAAAAATGCACAAACTTTAGAATTGTTCAATTATCCCGCATTTTTACTCCTGCATACAGAACTATTAATTGTTCTAATTCATAAAAGCATTTGTCAAAAAAACAATTTTCTTTTCCAATTTATGTTGTGATGAATCCAAGAACATTATTTCAGTGTACCATTGGAGAAAGAGGATTATTTTATGATGACAAACAAATTTTATTATTAGACTGCATTTTATCCGCTTTTCTTCTAAGCGGTGCTTAGAATCCATTTAATTTTGATGCGGATCCGAATCCAGATCCTGGATCCGCACTGGAAAAAAAATATAAAAGGATCCAGGTCATTTTGTTAAGATTTACTGATTTTTTTTACAAAGCAGAATTTTAAAATTTTTGTCTTATTTTTTCGAGTATTTTTATACAAAAAACTTGTTGAACCATTCAGAAATCAGGAAACTTTAATTATTTCTCTTTTTTTTCAAAAGTTCAGATTTAGGTTTTGAGAGCGAAAATGTTTTTTTTTTCAGTTTTTGGTTTATATTTTGCCCATTGAATCATGTTCAAAGCTAGGTACGTTTCTTTTCTTATTAACTTAATTTTTAATCTCTAAAATTCTCCACCACAAAATTTTAGTCCTATTTTATAAAATAAAATTTCTAATGTAATTAAGTTAAAATTTATTGGTTTACGTGAAGGGCTATGTTCAGTATTTTCAGTATTAAATATTATAATTTAACAACTTAATTTTCCCGTTAGCTACTGGTATTGGGTTCCAAGACAAAAGACAAAATTTCCTAAATAACCTCCCATTTAAAAATAAGGGGGAAAAATAGCCTAAAAAAGGACGAGAAACGATTTTTAATACTTTTTTTTCAAAATCTTTGAAAATTATTCACTAACTCTAAGAAACATGTACATTGTACACGTGCACTGTACATATAAACTGTACACTTGAATAAACATTTGTGGATTTACAATTAAGACAATTAAAAGGTTTTAAAATATTTGTTCTTATTTTTGCCTGATTGCAATGCGTTCTCTTTCCCGATAGCAAATCCTTCTCTGAAAATACTTGCTGAAAATATAATAAATAATTACTCAAGTAATCTTTTCTGGAACACTGAAATAATTAAAAAAACGCAAGAATAAAATGATATGCTGAAAGGAACTGTCAAATATCAATGCTGGATTCTCAACGGTAACCTTTAAAACCTTTATCTGATCAATCTTGCAAAATAGTCGCGTTTCTGGTTTAACAGTCTTAAATTATATTAATCTTCTCCATTGTTATTGAAGCAGAAATGCGAGAAATAATTCAGTCATAACATATCACCCTACAAATGGAGGGTTACTTGAAATGATGTCCACGGCCCCTTTTTATGTAAAATGAGCTTTTTGTTAATCATATAATACGTGAAACAAACGTTAAAAAATTTTAATTTATTAATATTTCAGCCAACAATTCCTGTATCCATCTGTGTGGGATCGTAGTTGAAGCTTCTTCCACTCTTGGTCCGACATAACACAATCATCGTGGCTTTCCAGCCCATCAGCCATTTTAAATTTCCTGGTCCTGAAAATAATCAATTTAATTTCCGCTTCTTTGCCGGCTGAAGACCGTTCCTGGAATGCGCTAACTGGAAATTCTCAAACTGTTTGCGGATTATTACAAGTGCCTGTTCCCTCTCTTCTTCTGACTCCGTGGTCTTGAGGAGTTTACGCTGCTTCTTTGAGTCCTTAAAGAACTCGTAGAATGGATGAGATTTGTCCTTGTAATTCGACTCCGAGAGAGAAAGAAGGTTTTCAAGTTTTGTGTTGGCTACGGACACAGTGTAGTCCTCAGGCTGAGTACCGGTATCCTTAAATTTTAAAAAATAAAACAATTTCTTATATTTATTTCGCAACATTAATAAGTTAAAATTAATTTGAAAAATAGGACACAAAAGCCTAATTGTTTTAAGTAATTGCAAAAAAATGTAGGGATTTCGTTCTAGGACTTATGCTTGGTTAAAATACATTTTAAAAAATAGGCCGTTAGTTTTGAGCAATTCAAAACTTAAAAAAAATACAACAGAAACCAATGATTAGAACTGTTAATGTTATTTCTGATTTCGAGTTTCAACAAGAAAAATGTTAAAATATTTTAAAAATAAGATTTCTTTACCTCAGGTTCGTCGATTATTTTCAACTCATCGTCATCTTCCTCTTCGACCTTCTCAACCCCGGGCACCTTCTCTGCCTTAGCCTCGGCAGTGACCTCGGGGTCAAAGTTTGAGGCCATCAGAACCCCGGTCAGTTTGGACTTTAGGTAGGTGGTGTAAACCGGTTTTTGTTCTAAAAAAAATAATGTTTTTCTCTCTGTTTAAGGAGTATCATGTCTGATATTTATCAATACCCTTGTTGCAATGTGGAAGATATGGCCGTCTTTTATCTAAAACCGTGTTGAATTCTGATGATTTCCTTTAATGTCTCTTGTGGGGACGGGAGGGGAGAGGAAGGGAGACGACAGGACGGGAGGGGAAGGGAAGCGACGGGACGGGAGGAGGAAGGAAGGGAGGGGAGAGGAAGGGAGACGACAGGACGGTTGGGGAAGGGAGGCGACGGGAAGGGAGGAGAAGGGCAGGTAGGAGGAGGGAAGGGAGGGGATAGTAGGGAGTGGGGGGTACTGAAAATGAAAAATTTCATTTACCTTTAATCTTATAAACTCTGAGATGTCTGTCTAATCCCACCACACTAAAGTACTCACTCCCAACAGGACTTGTAATTTCTCTAAAAAACCACACTTTCTTTAAACAATATAGTTGTTGGATGTAATATATCTTTTTAACCTTGTTGCTCAGGAAAAAGTTTGTAAATGAAAAATTTGTGAAATATATCACTCCTGACGCTAGAAGCAGATGGAAGAAAAACCAAGAAACAAATTGTTTTGCAAAGTACATATTTTTGTATATTGTACAAGGTACATTTTCTTGTACAATATACATTTACCTGTACAAGGTACATGTAATTGTAAAAATTACATTTTCTTTTAGTACGTGCATATTGTGTACAAAGTACATATTCCGGCCTGTACACTACAGTCCATATTTAAGCCCAAATTACTTTTTCTTGTACAAATTACATATTCTTGTACAGAGCAGATATTCTTGTACAAAGCAGATATTCTAGTGCAAGGTGCATATTCGTGTACTAAGTACAAATTCTTGTACAAAGCAGAAAGATATTTAAGCAACAGTGTCATTTTCTTGTCTTAGTCAAGTCAGTGAAAGATAAGCTTTTAAGTACAATTTTACTTCTGGCGATTATTGATCTGAAGTATTTTTTCAACAAAATTGATTTATATAAAATGTGACATTTAATTTCTTTCTGTACAATATTCGATGCTATATCGTTTGCACTAATGCCCGATTGAACTAACGTACTTTTGCACTAAAGTCAGCTGATCAGTAACATTTCCTTGTATTAGTCAAGTCAGTGAAAGGTGAGCTTTTAATTACAATTTTAACAAAATTAATTTATAGAAAATTTGATATTTGATTTCTTTCTGTACAATATTCAATTAGTGTACAGTGTACACTACACTATGTACCTGATAGCACCAGTACAGCCCTTGTACTTCCGGATCAGTCCTTTAAATCCAGCCCCAACCCTAACAAAACAGTATTAATAAAGGGATTTTTCACGGATTAGTTAACTTGCAAACTGGTCAAAGTGCTCAAACGCCGATTCTGAGCTAATAAATAATTTCCTTATTTGTATGAATCTACCTCTCTATTTTGCATGGTGTTATTGATAAGAGTAATGTTTCACCGTCTATACAATATGTTGACCTTATGACCTACTGACATTCAGATTTCCAACCTTATGTAATATCCGGCCTACGACAGCTGGTTTTTTTTTGTATTACTTGTGGGTTAGGTTAGGTTACGACAAATTCTGGGCTAAGTTTTGCGGCTAGGACAGGTTAGGGAGCAGAGCGCCGAGGCTAGAGCAGACCAAGGGGCCGAGCGCTGCGGCACAATATCAAACTATCAGCTGTAAAACCAAGTGAGAGGAGCTCAGTAAAGCGGATGTGGCGTAGGTCAGAAATGGAGTATAGCGGATGCTTGTAGGTCGAAATTTAAACCCTCTTGATATGCAATGAGAGAAATATTAAACCATCAAAAGAACAAAAATGTTGGATTTTTTACAGGAAATAATAACATTTCAGATAATTGGTTGAACATTGATGGAAGTGGTGAAACCTGAGCTGGAACGTTAGAATGGGATATCCTCAGTCACGATCGGTAAATTAATCTAATATCTAAAGTTCCCAGCTCTGGAGATTAAGAACAAGAGGAGAACAAGCAGTATTTAATCTGGAGATTAAGAAAAAGAGAAATCTAGCATAAATTCCGATATCCAGTATCCACCCTACTAAAGTGTCCAGAGCTGAAAACTTTAGAATGAGATATCCTTAATCCCGTTCTGTTAATTAATCTGGAGATTAATAACAAGAGAGAGCAAGCATTATTTAATCTGGAGATGAAGAAAAAGAGTGGATCAATCATTAATCCCGATATCCACCATTCAAAAGTTCCTAGCTCAGCTCTGAATACGTTATTCCTAGTGATCCTCTAAAATATGTCATGTTCTAGATGGTGTACTTTCGACCTGCGCAAATCTGCAATACTCCACTTTTGACCTACGCCAAATCCGATATACTAGCACGTGGTTTTAGAACTGCTATTGGACTTTTAGAAGCGGCGATCGGTCCACAAGCCTGTCCTAGCCGCGGCGATCGGTCCACTAGCCTGTCCTAGCCGCGGCGATCGGTCCAATAGCCTGTCCTAGCCGCAGCGTTGTGCCCAGAAATTGTCCTAACCCTCAAATAATACAAATAAACAGCTGTCGTAGGTCCGATGTTGCAGTAGGTAGGAAAGTTAGTAGTCAGAAGTTCAGTAAGGGGGATGTAACATAACTTCATGTCTACCTCTTGAGCGCATAAATTTGCAAGTCAGTTTAATAGATTTATAAATGTCAAATTCTCAGCCAGAAAAACAAGGATAGTATTTCATTCATCCTTATCCTAAAATTAGTACTGTTGTGAATTGATATTTCACTTTTTAAATGGAGGGTCAGTGGTCACTTAAAAGTTACGTTTACTGTTCCTATACAGACCAAAACTTAACAATTTTGGCAAATCAAAATATTCAAAACATAATAATATAAAGAAAATATTTAAACCTGAAGTCCCAAAGTCCTAATTTCCCTGTTGCTGTTCCAACTAAAACCTAAACATGGTAAATATTTGTCAAAATGAAAAATCACATTGGATTTTACGATAAAAAAATGTTTATTTATGCACGCTCCTCCATTACTCCATTGCAATCTTTACATGGAGGGTCACTTGAAATTGCGCTTACAATCCCTGAATGGACATTATAAAATCAAAATATTCTTGTTACAAAAATCACTTTCTGGAAAAATATTCTCCGAGTGAACTAATTAGTAGTGAAAATTCATCTAACAGTTGAAATAAACAAAAGTCACAACGACCTCTGCGCCCCCCCCCCCCCCCACCTCTTACAATTTCTATAAAAGTCACTCCTGACCTTTATATTTTAAATAAGATCAAAGGAAGATCAGATTTTAATATCAACTACTCGAGTTCTCAAAGAAACCCAAGTCTAATGTTCAGACCATTAAAAAGACTTGAGAAGTCATTTTAAATAATCAATCAATCATTCAAGTAAAATTTATTTTTTAAACTCAAGAACAAAATGAAAAAAATGACCAACAAGATTTTTTGGAATTTTTTGTAAGATGGATGTTCATTATTGTTCCGTTCCCCCATGGACACTGAGTAAAGTATTCAATCTGCCTGTAGAAACCCCACAATTGTTTACAATTGTTTAAGAGAAATCATGGATATCTTCTTCATTCATAAACATACAAGTCTTTTAAAATTACCATTGTGATCACTTATAAATAAATCTCGTTTACAATACAGTTTTACAAAACAATGATTTACCTGGTTTTCATTGACAGTACATATTGTTGTACAGTTGAAAGCATCGTCCTTTTCCGTCCAGATCAGCTCAACGGTTGGTCGTCGTTGCGAAGATTTTATATCGTACTTCCTAAAGAAAGAGAGAACAAAAAATGAATTCAGCAATAAAGCACTTATCATGCCCCCC